TGTCTGTATGGTAGACATGGCCACCCATGTCTGTATGGTAGACATGGCCACCCATGTCTGTATGGTAGACATGGCCACCCATGTCTGTATGGTAGACATGGCCACCCATGTCTGTATGGTAGACATGGCCACCCATGTCTGTATGGTAGACATGGCCACCCATGTCTGTATGGTAGACATGGCCACCCATGTCTGTATGGTAGACATGGCCACCCATGTCTGTATGGTGTACATGGCCACCCATGTCTGTATGGTAGACATGGCCACCCATGTCTGTATGGTAGACATGACCACCCATGTCTGTATGGCAGACATGGCCACCCATGTCTGTATGGTAGACATAGCAACCCATGTCTGTCATACATGGCAACCCATGTCTGTCAATAAAGCGTTTAATTTACCATCATTGGCTTTCAAATGGTGTTATTAGTGAGGGCGAATGGAATGTCTTGCAAGTACCTGATCTTATTCTTGTATTTATGATGATCATTTTATTTTTCGACTGTAAATTGTATTTTTACTGTGCTAAGCACTAATTAGTGACCCAGGCCGTGCTATCTAAACTTGCTTATTTACACGTAGCGACCGATTCCTGGTCTGTGATTGGTGGGTTTAGCTTGAAAAGTCGTCAATTATTGGCTGACTGAGTTACGAACTCGTAACTAATTTTAATAGTAAGATCTCATGTTCTAGCCGACAATATTTGTATGAAACGAAGTGCAGTCCGCGGGGAAGAAAAGTATTGTGACTCCAGAGCGACAATTGCTGACGCTGATTTAATGTGAAACAATTGAAAATGTAAATTTAAAATTTGCTGCTTAAGAGAGTGAATTTCTTCGTCCATTGTTATTGGTTTCATATAGCATATTCGCGTGGTATTCATTGCAAATTCGTTATATTCCATTTGTTTAAATAAATTTTTTGGTTCTATCCGTCTTCTCAGTGATCGTAAGACTGAGGGCAGTAAATAGAGTTTGATATAAATAATTATTTTTATAACAGTCTTATTGCTATTGATTGTGTGGATGCGGGAAAACGGTGAACAGGTTCACGCACTGCAACATATTGGGCTAAATTTAATTATCTGTATGAATTTCAAGAGTAAAGTTGACCTTTGACATTGCGTTATTTATCCCAGCTTGTGATGTAGTATACACATATTATACATATAGTACTACTATATACTATACATATATACAAGGGAGCATATATTATATTATATGTAGATANTATAGGTTCTGTCTCTTATACACATCTAGATGTGTATAAGACACCGCCGTAAGCCTGTAAGCGGCAAGCAGAAGAAGCAGCTGCTCAAGGAGAAGCGCGAGAAGAGAGCCAACACGCAGCAGCGCTGCCAAGGTCTGAAAAATTATACTTAGTTAGGCGCCTTTCACACAGGGCGGGAAATCCCGCCGGCGTGAAAAAAAAACCGCCGCGGGATTTCCCGCCGAACCTCAGCGAACATTTAAAATGTGCACCGCTATTCACACACGATGGATTTTCACGCGGCGTGAAGTTTCACGCCTGACGACCGCGTGTGTCACGCTAAAACTGAGGCGGGATTTCCCGCGGCAGTTGAGCTTGCAATGGGATTCAATGTAATCTTTCACACTGGGCGGTTTTTCACGCCGCTACCTAGTGTGGTAGCGGCGCTGCAAGACTGATAGATTCCAGCGTGAAAAACCGCCTCGTGTGAATGATAGCGCGGGAAATCCCGCAGCGGTTTTTTCACGCCGGCGGGATTTCCCGCCCTGTGTGAAAGGCGCTTAACTCTTTGTCTACGGATATATTACCCGTCGTCAATGCTATTTCTACCTATTACCCGTCGTCAATGCTATTACTACCTAAATGCCTCTGGTAATGAGCGATACCCTCAGTAGACAAAGGGCTAAATCATGTTACTCATTGAGTATTTTTCAATTCATTTTAGTCCATGATGACGGAAAAGAAAATTATGTGTAGCGTCAATTTGTTTCAAGCCACTTCTCAACCCGCCATAAAATAGTTATGTATTATATTATTTATTATGCCATTTATTATTTTAGGCCATTCATTATTGTAACTTTATTGAAATATTATGTTAGAAAAAGTAGATTATTTTGTTGTAAATTATGAAGAAACTATGCAGTCTATCTGAATTAACATTCAAGAGATTGTCTAACAGTTTGTAAAGCGTTTATGGATACCTTCATTGTAGGGAATATTTGCTGAAATACAATAATTTAATTTTCACCTGAAAAATTTTATAATAATTACAGTGAAATTTTTGGAAAACTTGTTTAACTGCAATTTGAAAGCTGAATGATAGATTTCGAATACGTGAGTTTGTTTAACAAATTAATTGACTCATGTTTCTTACTTGACAGCCAAATTGACTCATGTTTCTCACTTGACAGCCAAATTGACTCATGTTCTCACTTGACAGCCAAATTGACTCATGTTTCTCACTTGACAGCCAAATTGACTTGCGTTCTTTGCGTGACAGCCAAATTGACTCATGTTTCTTACTTGACAGCCAAATTGACTCATGTTTAATACTTTCATTCTGTACACAATTTTGTGATGACTGATGATGCATTAATTTTTTGTTAAGTGAAATTTTTTTCACTGAGCGAGGTAAATGTAATCAAAATTCTTTGTTGTTAATTGATTTTTTTTATTAGTGGAGCCTTTACTAAGCAAGGTTCTACTGTAAATGCATTTTTAGGGGTGTCCCTTATTACCCCGTCTTGCGAAAATGGCCGCCATTTTTTTTAATAATTCCTCGTCTACTTGTGTTAACAGACAGCGACGACGATGAGGTCCCAGGCCCCTCTGGCCCCAGCAGGGACCGTCTGGGGGACTACACCTCCAAAATATTCAGCGTCAACCGCCAGCCCCAGCAACGTGGGGCCAGGGCCAACAGGTGGGTACACGCACAGAAATTAGTGTCACTTTGTCCAATTAGTGTTGCACTTAACAAGACAGTGCAACACTAATTGGACAAAGTGCTCACCCAACAAAATGCATGACATTACCCAATTTGGTAATTTTTTTCCCATTTAACTTTTACCCAATTTGGTCCTGCAAAAAGGGGCGTATCAGTGCTACTTCCTCGCTCTGCTCGTGCTGTGGGTGAGAGTGGATGTCACTATTTGCAAAATATTACTCATTTATCTTTATGAGTGATGTTGCTGTTGATCTTATTGTCCTAATTGTGATCTTGCGGGTCGTCTACATGGCTGTCACCCAAGAAGCATGTCTCGAATGCCTGGCTTGGACTAATCTGAAGCGGTGCACCAGCGTGGCCGTGAACCGTGACGTCCAGAACTCAGAACGTGGGCAGGCGCAAATTTTGGTGCCTATGTTTCTTTATTAAGCATCAGCACCACGAGAACTCTTTATACTATTGGTTTCAGGCTCTTCCCTCATCTTCAAATTACAGTCTTAATGAATTTTTACGCAGGAACAAGCCTCTTTTGACCTGTAGATGAAATCTTCATGTATGCGTTCAAAAGTTAGTTTGATCGCCTGTGGTAATGCTCCTCGGTACATTGCACACATTGATGTCTGGTGAGAATGTTCCATAATCTGAACGTAAGGAATGGTTCCGATTATGACGCCTTACTATTTATCACCTATTTGCTTTCTAAATTTCCATGTTAACCCCTCCATTCCTACATTAACACCTCCACATCACGCAGATATAACCTGCAGTTCAACAAGGACAAGCTCGACGCAGAGTTCGCCAGGAGCAAGCAGGAGGTGTACGCGCCCATCGCTGTCGCCGACCCCGCCGCCCTCGAGTACTCTTCTGAGGACTTCTTCCCTCCTGGCCTCACCTTCCCTCAGCGGCCTCAAGGTATGGAGGGCTATTGAGAACCACTTCCCGCCTGGCCTCACCTTCCCTCAGCGGCCTCAAGGTATAGAGGGCTATTGAGGACCACTTCCCGCCTGGCCTCAGCGTCCTCAAGGTATAGAGTGCTGTTGATACGACTTCCTGTGTCGTGTATCCGCATTTACTACATTTTAACCCCAAGACACGCATTTACTTTACTTGTAAAGCCCTAATACGTGCATTTACTGCCTTCAACCCTAGGACACGCGTTCACTGCATTTATTTAAATTTTAGGGCACATGTGCACCAATATCATGCACATGCTGAAGAAGTCTGTCTCATTTATGTCTTTCATTCTGCATTCATTTCATGCTGCATTACTTCATGACTCATTTTTTTCATGCTGCATTCATGTCATGCTGCATTCATTTCATGCTTCATTTACTTAATACTGTATTACTTCGTGCTGTATTGCTGTAAATGCATTTCATGCTGTAAATGCTGATTTCATGCCGCATTTACCCTCTACAGGCTACCAGAAGATGACCAAAGAGACGCTGGAGATGCACGAGGCCCGCAGCGTGCGGTTGTTCGCTGAGGAGACGCAGGAGAAATTCGGTGACCGCGACCTGAACCTGTACGAGCAGAACACGGAGACCTGGCGCCAGCTGTGGCGGGTCATGGACAAGTCGGACGTGCTGCTCTTCATCGTCGACTGCAGGTTTGCTGTGAGTGTTGCAGCTGCAGGTTTGCTGTGAGTGTTGGGGCTGCAGGTTTGCTGTGAGTGTTGGGGCTGCAGGTTTGCTGTGAGTGTNTCGCTAAGCCCTCAGGTGAACCCTCTGTTTTCAACCTCTTGATGCCGTCGCTAAGCCCTCAGGTGAACCCTCTGTTTTCAACCTCTTGATGCCGTCGCTAAGCCCTCAGGTGAACCCTCTGTTTTCAACTTCTTGATGCCGTCGCTAAGCCCTCAGGTGAACCCTCTGTTTTCAACTTCTTGATGCCGTCGCTAAGCCCTCAGGTGAACCCTCTGTTTTCAACTTCTTGATGCCGTCGCTAAGCCCTCAGGTGAACCCTCTGTTTTCAACTTCTTGATGCCGTCGCTAAGCCCTCAGGTGAACCCTCTGTTTTCAACTTCTTGATGCCGTCGCTAAGCCCACAGGTGAACCCTCTGTTTTCAACTTCTTGATGCCGTCGCTAAGCCCTCAGGTGAACCCTCTGTTTTAAACTTCTTAAGTGAACCCTCTTGTTGACTCACTTAATGAGAGTCGTTATTGTGCTCATGTGACATGCTATGAGGGGATGTAGGTTGTTATATATGATGGTCTAATGATGCACTGCCACTGCTTCATAAAATACTTCACGCTTGCTCACCATTAGTGCCAGAGGCTCGCCATTAGTGCCAGAGGCTCACCATTAGTGCCAGAGGCTCACAATTCCTCGCCATCCCTTGACAGTGGACCTGCGCAGCTGGCGGGAGAAGCTGGAGGCCGAGGCCCTGGACGCCGGTCCCGACGAAGAGGTTTTCAAGCCCGAGAACAACGACGATGATTTCGATGACGACGATAATGACAATGATGGTGATGGTGAAGATGACGAGGAGGAGGAGGAGGAAGAAGAAGATGCTGGCCCTCAAGTGGAGGGAGCTGAGGGTGCCCCCAAAACCTTCACCATCGGGACCATCGGCTACCCCAACGTGGGCAAGTCCTCTCTCATCAACGCCATCCTGGGGCAGCACGTACGTTCCTTATCACTTCCTTTTTCTGAGGACAAAAAAATATGACAACTTCATATTCTGTAGATCTTCATTGATCATTGAGATCAATATTTCGTGCATCGGTCCAATTTATTTCTTAAGTTCTAATTGGCGTAGACTCCATCAAATTCGCAGGTTTAAATCATCTATATATTCATTTAATGTGATATCTATGACACCTGATACTTAATATACATATTTCCATTCATTTTAGCCTAATTCCAATTTCGTAATTTTTGTGTTCTGTGCAGTAATATTAACGCAATTCTTGACGTGCAGAAAGTGAGCGTGAGCAACACGCCCGGCCACACAAAACACTTCCAGACTCACTTCCTCACACGAGACCGCTCAGTCCTCCTGTGTGACTGCCCAGGGCTCATCTTCCCGTCTGTGTGTCCATACAAGCTCCAGGTCTGTGTGTATGTGTAAGCTCATCTTCCCGTCTGTGTGTCCATACAAGCTCCATGTCTGTGTGTATGTGTAAGGTCATCTTCCCCTCCGTGTGTCCATACAAGCTCCATGTCTGTGTGTGCATTTGTAAGGTCATCTTCCCGTTTGTGTGTCCATGCAAACTCCAGGTCTGTGTAAGGTCTGCTTCCCCTCCGTGTGTCCATACATGCTCCATGTCTGTGTGCATGTGTAAGCTCACCACAAGTTTGATGGTGCTCCTAAATTCCGCACAACTGCTTCAGACGCAATCTGACACGACGGATATTAGTGTATTTGTTTCCTTCAGTTTTTTTCTCGATGCGTAATCCCGCACGTTATTCAGGACGTGGTTGAGTGCAAACTAAAATAAATGAACGCTAATGTTTCTCATTAAAATGTTTAGTTCCATTGTGCGTGTCTCTTTCATGCACGAGCGTTGGCTGTAGTATGTTTGACGAATAGAATTCTAAATAAATTAAATAAATTACAACTATGTTTGAATATTTAACATGTTGACTCCGAAGTAGTACATATACGTGCCACAAAATCTTTCTCCAGGACGTAATGGTGCATAATTCAAGATTGCTACATGGTCTAAAAAACGGCCAAATCCGAGTACAAAAAAAGCCAAAAGAGGCCTATAACTCAATATATACCACTAGAATATGTATATGTATAGGTTCCAGTGTAAAAATTCCATTTTTTTGCAGTTTTTTAAATTTAATTAGGAAGCACCTCTATCATAAATTTTAGCCGGACAACGCAATTGAAAAAACTAAATGGCGCAATTTGTTCGGAAAAAATATCGTCTGGAAACCCTGTTTCAAAATAGTACCTACCACAAAATGAAATAATACGTTAGTACAAGATGAATCAATCGGAGCCAACGTGTTAGGGACAATATCTTCTAAGGTCGTGTCTGACCTCGAATTATCTTTCAATATTATATATTAAAAATTACTTTCATTTAGGCCTTGTATAAGCTCAAACTGTGAGTCTTTATCATATGTTTACCAATATTTATTCAGGTGTTATCTGGGACGTTCCCCATCTCGCAAGTGCGGTCGCCAATGTCTGTGGTGGGGTTCCTGGCTGCTCATATCAACGTGCCTCGCGCCCTGCGCATCACCTTCCCCCAGGAATACCTGGACGACACTGGGGGTCAACCGCAGTGGACGCCTTTTTATATAGCTGAAGGTGCGCCCCAAAATTGATGCCGTTTTCTATGTTAATGTTCAGCTTATGTCAACACGGATCAAGCAGTGAGTAGGGAAGTATCTACTCTCAGTCTACACGGGCTGGAATATAAGTAGGGTTGTAATCTCAGTCAAATATTGCTGTAACCCTTGACGTAACCTTGGGGTGGTGTTACCAGTGAGGAAACGAACGAAGAAAAAAGATCGCTCCATCGCACTGATGACGTCACGGATCCCAGCAAACGTACGTACGGGCATCATTATTTAAATTAAACACGCACATTGATTGTATCAAAAAATTTTCGCTAATATTAGTATCAAATTTCGCAATATTTTGTCAGCTTTAGAGGAATGTTGCTGATTACTTCATCATTAGTTAACTTAAATTTAAAAATACGAATAACTCTCTGTAAATTCCGCATTTATTCATCTTAAACGATCCCAATTAGATGTTGTTTATTTTGCTCTTCTAATCTTTTCGAACTTGTGAATTGAGCAGACTAATGAAATAATTATTTATTAAGTATTGATAGTTCAGGAACAGTCTGATTTTTGCAGCGTGGGCGATACGGCGGCACTTCAAGATCAAAGGGCGTGGCGGCCGCCCTGACGTCAGCCGCGCGGCCAACGAACTCCTGCGCCTGTCATGGCGAGTGCAGCTGCCGTGCTGGCGAGTGCAGCTGCCGTGCTGGTGAGTGCAGCTGCCTGCTGGTAAGTTCTCCTCCCCTTCTTTCAATGAATGCATTTATTTTCATCTTGATTGAACGGTATCGATAGTTCGGCATTCGCAGTAGCCCCTTCTTTGCCTTAAATTTGTTGTCATGTTCAGAAGCGAATAAATACTGTCAGTGGAGACGCGCCGCACGATAGAGCTGTGACACAGCACTCTCCGCTCTCATGCCATTCATTTGGGTTACCTTTTACACTTAACTATTAAAGTATTCTGTTGAGGTAAAATACTCATTCCTTGCATTCAATGCACTAGTGGTACATTTAATGCAGCTCTGAGGTATCATTTTCGCAGGAGACTTCGCCCACGAGGGAACAGCGCTGCATGCCATCCGGGCCATCCAAGGCGTCCATGCCAAGGAGGTGGAGGAGCAGCAGCAGCTGCTGCAGTATTCTGCTGCACAGCGCACGGCTGCTGCCGCTGCTGCCGCTGCTGCTGGGAGTGCCGGCGCTGCAGGTAGGTCTAGAATTGCTGGTGTCACTGGTACTTTTGGTGCCACTGGTAGGACTAGTATTGCTGGTGTCGCTGGTAGTTCTGGTGCTACAGGTAGGACTATGTAGTATTGCTGGCGAAGGTGCTTCAAGAAGTCCTGGTTTCGCTGGTATATGAATAGGGATTTTTTTTGCTTACATTTTTAATGGATGTGGAGTCTCAAATTTGTACACAAATTTTTCTCGCGATTAAGTTATGAAAATATCCTTCGAATCAAGGGAATAACAAGATGAAAAAATATCCTTTTTCAATGAGACTCGACATTATTGTGCTACAATAAAAGCCAGCATTCCGAAGCCTAAACCATACGGAGAAGTTATAATGGTGACCTGACATAAATCCCATCCATTTTTAGCGCATTTTCTCATTTATGGAAAAAAGGTGCTATTGTGCTCGTCTTGTCCGTCTGTCCGTCCGTCCACCTGTGACCACGTTTTCGTCGACGAGAAAATGCGCTTTGTCACTACAGTGAGTATTGAGTTATATTTTTAACGTAACTGGAGACTGAAACTCCAGCCCGAAATATACCAAGTTTGTTTGAAGCGCCAGAAAACCTGCTACATCAAACTACTACCACCACCTACTTACTCCTGTCTGACTGCAGGTGGTTCCAGTGCTGCACGTGACGAAGGACAGCTGTCCGACGACGACCAAGATTCAAATGAGGATGACAATGAAGAGGAAGAAAAGAAGTCCTTTAGTAAAATGCCGCCGCCCGTGTCCAATAAGTTCTCGGCTCTCAACCTCCTCGAAGGCGATGACGACGATTCAAGTGATGAGGAAGAGGAAGATTGAATTATGAACTGTTATTAATTCCAAAGTTTCTTCAAATTAAAAATGTGAGCCTTGAGTATTCTTTGATTCATCACCTGTCCATTTCTGAAAAGATAATTATTGAAAAAAATTTGACCGGAAATTATACTGTTGTTTTGTCGCAACAAGTCACAGGAAACGGTTAGAAAGTATAGACTGAGCAAATATTTGCTATAAAACCCACCTCCCAAAACCACTACACGCGCTCTACTAAACTAACTCATCAACAGCGATGAGAAAGCAATGTCTCCCTCCACTGCAGTCATTTTCATGCTCTCAACTCATACAATCGCCGATTTCTGACTAGGTGCACCTCTCTAAAAGGTTATTTGCCGAATTGAATTTTAAAAATTCAAAAGTTACGGAGAAGGATGGTCAATAGAACTGATTTATTTGTTGATTAGTTAAGGATCTGGTTGTGAATTGATTTTAAACAGAGATGTTGTTAGTATCGAACTGTTTCTTAATTTGGTGAATTAATTTAATCAAGAATGTAGTTTGTATAAAAATTATTATTACACTACACCCGCCCACATCGTCACGCATCTCCTGCTTAGTTCTTACAACAGCGAACTTGGCTGATGCGGGTGGTGGCCTTCTACTTGACGTGGAATTGCCTCACTTTGGGAAGGGCAATAACAGCAGAGTGGACCGTGCCAGATAATAGCTGCAATTAATTCCACTTTAATCCCTCATAGCATGTCCAAATTACTTTTCGGAGGCTCACACCTCTGCGGCATGTAAAAAGTCTTCGGACCTTGGCTGCTTGCTGCAGCCATTCTCTTGCCCAGAGCTCTCTAGCTTGCAGCTTGGCCCAAACCTCTGCCTTTTATCCCTAACTAATGATAGAGATCAGGCAGGGCAGTGCATAAGCACTCGAAGCCTTCAAATCTAAATAATCAATTAATTTCCCCTTAAAATATTGTTAAGACGCTGTGTTGAAGCATTCGTACCTGTACCGTACTCTCAAGAGGTTTATTAGCGCATTTTCAGTTAAAGTATGGCATAAATCATCAAATGTTATTGAAACTGGGTTTTTCACCTATTACGCTTAATGTGAGTGTTGGTCAATAAAAACTAGCGCTTGGACTTTGAAGCTAGCTTAAGAAGTAGTATTCAATTTAACTTGCTAACACAACTACAAAAGTCACCTAACTATTACAACTCTCCGTAATACGTCGCTTTTAAATTCTTAACCATATAATTCAGGGTGGCCCAGTGGTTAAAGTTCAGAGTACCAAGATTGACGCACTGGAGAGGCGCAGGTTCGATCCCAGCAATGTGCGCCAGTTTCTGCCTTAAGGTGCCTGTACACAGGGATAGTACTAGCCGCTAGTTCATCCGGCGCTTGAACTGTCCACGCTACTAGCCTCGTGTATAGGGGTTCAGCCGCTTCAGAGGCATGCGCCGGCAAGTGCCCGAGGCGCGGCCGAGAGAGACAACGATGTGTTGATATCTTGGCTGGAGAAGTGGCTAGTAGCGCTGATGCAGCCATGGTGAGAGCATCTGTGCCGCTCCTGTGAAGTATCTTGGGTCCCGTGAATCATGGCTTGTTTGAACGATAATGTTTCTTTCTTTGTTTCCACTTTGTTGGAATCCAACAAAGTGGATTCCAGACGATATTCAATTATTCTTTGAAATATTCCAAAAATATGAATTGAAGTATAATGTTTTCCATGATGGTTACTCCAACAAAATGAAGAGAGAAACGAGTATTTTGAAACGGAAAGAAGACCTTATTAGTCAGGGTTTAGTTGTTCCCGACGCTGTATTTTTAAGGGCTAGAATATGGAGTATAAAAAAGACGTACAGACTCGAGTTGTTGAAGGTGATCACACTATCCATCTTCACAGACCTCACTCGACGGCTTCTAACGACTCACTGGCGGGCGCGAACGAGAAGATAGCGGCACCTTATACTCTCCTCGTGTGTACAGGCTTACTAGCCGGATAGTCACCAAGCGACCGACACTAGCCAGATTTACTAGCCGTCTGCACTATCCCTGTGTACAAGCACCTTTATGGTCAGAATCGGCAAGGAGGCCGGGCGGTTAAGCACAGCAGAATTGTAGCAGTGCGTTGCCAGTGCGAGACCTCAAATTTCAAAATGCTGTGAATGTTCTGCGATGATAAGAATCGGCGACAGGCCTACGGCCTAATAAGCGCTGAAACTGCTATTATTATATTATTATTATTATTATTTTAATGTCAATTACAGTACAGTTTTTGTTTTATACATTTTTCCGTATATTTTCGTCGTCTTTTTGTGGTTCTGTAGATTCTTATTATATTTTGTCGACATTATATAGTGGTTCTTTCGAAGCGTTTCGTCTTACTTATAGAAAGGACTTAAAACTGAAAGACTATGAAGACTTGAACTGAATTTTCATTGCTGATCCCAGGTATTACAAGCGGTCAACGCGTGGCTTCTTCTTCACCTTCAACCCGTCAACAACAACAATTTGCTTGCCCTTGAAGATAGAAGTATGGCACGAATGTACAGCAATTGCATTAAGTGCTAAATGTTGGATATTAGACTTTACTATTACGCTATAGCCATTGCGTGTTGAATAAAGACCAATCAATAATCGAGCCGCATCTGCGTAGTTCCGATTTAACCTTCTCGCAGTAATGGGATATTTACGTTTTACATACTTTGCGACGGGAGCGCAGCCGTGGACCAAAAATTTAACTCATAAACAAGCCCTAGCGCCAACGGCTACCTTCATAATGCAATACCTAACTAAACTCAGCCTCACGCCCAAAAAGCCGTAGGTAACTTAATCATCTCTCGGCGGCTTGATATTTTCTGGCTTACTGGTTCGCTTCCCAGAAAGGAAGTGGCACATATGGCTGTAGGCACTTAATCACACAGGCTAATATGTGCTCAACGGCTCAAGCGTGATTACGCTCGGAAATGAATAGATATTGAATTGTGGGCAAGGGCTGTGTTGGCCTCTGGCATGCATCCCCTTTGCAAAGAAGAAGAAGCATTGCTGCTCTTTCGTAGCATATGAAGGAAAAGGAACGACTTTTAGCTGTAATTGAGCATGATGGACTGTGGAGGACTGGATGTGGACAGTGGAATCTGCACCTGCTGGGCCAGCTTGTCTGCAAGACATCCACCTTCACATGATCTTTCTGTAATTTCCTACTTAACAGTTCGTCTGAACAAGGTGCCATTATACAGTAATAGTATAAATAAAAGAACATGAGCTTTGAGAAAAGTTTATCAAATTAAAAGTTATCTTTACCAAATTATAAACAAAAGTAGCCTATTCACTCACAATGTCAATGTGTCAATGCCCTCATGCAATGCAATCATGACTTGGTACCTAGTCAGTATTTCTGTTTGTGCTTTGATTTTAATGAATGTGTTGATTGCTGAATGGTAATTTTTTGCACTTCTTCCTGCATAAGATCTTGAAATCTGAATTGATTTGGACATAAGTAAATATGTATCTATTTATTGACAATAGGTATCATGAATAGGCTATTGAATATGCTACTCAGCTACTGTAAGCGCTGAAAGACTTTATTTTTATTGGCATGCCAGATTTTTCATCAAACTTGGCACATAGCCACATTATATTAGTAAGTAGCAGGTCTACAAGTTTCAGACTTTCAGTGAACCTTAAATATCTCCCAAATTGAAGAATGCATCTTGATGAAACTTTGCACACAATTTTAAATTTAAATAGGGCCTAATGGTGAAGTTTTTATTGTGATGATTTTTTTTGCTTTTGCCATCTTTTTTGAGTAATACAGGAAAGCCTGTGCAGAACTTCTGTACCGTAAAATGGGATAACTTAGAGTCTTAGACTACTTTTTTTTAAAGATCATAAAAGATGCTATTTTTTAATAGGTAAATTAAACTTAGATTGAAACATGCAAAATACAAGTCTATACTCTAGGTTCATTCACCGTAAATTGCTGGCTCCTGCGAGTCCTGCCTCTCATAGTTTTGATGTAATTTCAAAAAAAGTGATGGTCTTTGTTACCAGTTACCACAGCACCCAGCTCTTGTCCACTATGCAGAGGGTGGATGCAGCGTCGCCAATATATGGATTTTCAAGCCCAAAGCGTCGCCGGCCATTTTAAAGATGCGTCGCCAGGTAATTTTTAATGAAAAGCCATTTACGCTGAGTAATGACGAACTATTTACAAGCCACGAACTTATTTACAAGGTTGCATGCACGTGTTACATTTTTCATTTTTTAACCTATTAGATATGCATAATTTTGTATTTTTTTTATCTTTCTATTGTGTTACGTAGCCTCAGTATTAGGCTTTTAATGCCCATTGACAAAATTTTTCTATGTCAAATAGTTTTTGAGTTTTGGGGGTTTTTGTTAAAAAACTAAAAGTGGTCTAAGTAACCCCATTTTACGGTTTAATATATATTAGGCTCACTGAAAATTTAGGACCGCATAACTTGTACAGGAAAGCAAAATTGAAAAAATAATCACGGCCTGAACATCACAGTTAGGTCTTATTGAATGCATGTGCAAATTTTCATCGAGCTGTATTGATCAATTAGAGGTATTTTAGGCTCACTAAAACCTGCAGAGGGGCTGCAAGTCCCAGCCGTAAAAGTGTTTGAGAGGTTGTAGACTTGTAGTTACATATATTGCCCTAAGTGCTTGCTGTAAGTGCTCACAGAGCAGGGGCTTCATATACGGTTCGTTTTGGCATTCGCTATATGTGGCAGGATAAAAAAAATGGAAGTGCCCACTGAGCAGGTTTTAATGAAGAGGCTTTGAGGAAGTAATTTAATGACGGAAAACCCATGTCAGGGACGGCTACAGAACACTGAACTGATATTGGCGGTTAACATACAATCGTGAATGGCTAAGAGGGAAGACGGCCTGACCAGGCTTGTCCGCTCCGGTCCACAGTAGCAAGATCAAGACGGAGGCTTACGGCCTCCGTGCCTACATTGCCTCCGCTTACAGTTAAAGGCTCGACTCGCTTGTCAATAGGGCGCATATACTGGCGGGCCATAATACCCTTACACTTGCAGTAGTGTAAATAAATATTAAAATATATAGAGCTTTGTTGTTGAAAGGGTCAAGCTTGGTTTCTATTATATAAACGCATATGCATATGAAACATGCTAAAAATTAGCATTTATTGTGCTAGTTAAAATCTAAATGGATTCTGACAGTGCTCACAGAAAAGTATTGTCTTAGCTCTGTTCATAGCTTTTTCATGACTGAAATGTCTAGCTTATGCTTATTTGACTTGCTATGAAAATTCATTCCAAAAATTTGCCCCAAAATTGTCGAAGCAACTGGTCAGACTAATGTGCGCTAACATGCCCTGCTAATGTGTGCAACATGTTTGGCTAATGTGTAATAATGTGCAAGGTGATAGTGTGCTAGGGTTGTGGGTGGAGTCATGTCATCTCCCATCAGTGAGTGGGCAGAGTCATGTCATCTCCCATCTGTGATTGGTTGAGAGGTCATTATTTCTACACTGTGATTAGTCAATAGGATCATGATATCATCCTCTCAAGACTGTGATTGGCTGATAGCCTGATAGGATCATGATCTCATGCTATCCAGGTTGTGACTGGTTATGGGATCATGATGTCATGTTATCCAGGCTGTGATTGGCTAAGCAATGGCCGTTCGATTGGTCTTTTAAAACCCCCCTAGAATTCCACCATGCAAGTAGGGTGTAATGCTAATGCGCTCTGCTAATGTACGCTAACTTGCTCTGCTAGCATGTGCTAATTTGTGTGTTGCTAATGTGAGATAATGTGCTCTGCTAATGTAAGTTATGGTAATGGGCTATACCTGCTAATGTGCTATACCAACATCTGAGCCAAGATAATCTAACTCAATATAGTATGGAGAGATATGCTATTCAAATGTTTAATAGGAATTTTAATGGGTCTTCTTTGGAATGATTTGACTTATTTTCAATAATAATGATAGCAGATACAACAATGTCAGTACGGGAGCTGCATTCTTGGTATATGGTATTTGATAATTGCAACGGGATTCTCTAATATAAGGTATTACCAATCTCAGCAACACCGGGCATGGATGCATGTTGCCATGTCAAAGGGTTTCTTAGACTTTTTTTGAATGCAAAAAGAATATGTAATTTTTTAGAAGAACTGTTAAGATACAGGCAAAAGAAAAAAAAGCTGATATATATATTGTGTGTAGATCAGCATTATATCCAAATATGGCTGAATTTACTACCTAAATTGTCTTTGAGCACCTCCTTACTGAAACTTACAAAAGGAAAATTCATGTGTGTACTGGTATATAAAAAAACTTTGTACCTTATTATTGGTCTAATTTTTCACTTACTTTAATTGCTAAGTAATTTGGAAGTAATCATTAATCTAACTTGTACTATGTAAGTGGTATTTTTTGTATGATAAACTATAATGTAACATTTATCTTGCACTGAGTGCCTAATAATATTTAGAAAATTTTTCAATAATAACCTTATCTGAATTAAGTTCAGTACTAGTCATTTTTAAGATGAAAATATTTTTGGAACCTAGGATCTTGCAAATTAAATTTAATTAAATAATGAAGTACCTTGTGACAGTAACCAATAATCTTTTACAGTTGAACATTTAAAAATAAACTTTGTTGGAAAATAAAACAACAGAATATAATCAAACATACTTCATCTAAACTAGGTACTTTATATCCAGCAAACATTCCTGATGGCAGACTCTACTGATGGTTTGTCTCAGTCACCCGAAGATGAGCTCACCATCCCCCGAGCTGCTGTCAATAAATACATACGAGAAATTTGCCCAAATGTCAGAGTAGGATTTGACACTAGAGAGCTGCTATTACAATGCTGCTCTGAGTTTATACACGTTATCAGTTCTGAAGCAAACCAAGCTTGCAGTGAAGAACAGAAAAAAACTATAACTGCTGAACATATATTCAAAGGTAGGTCTACAGGAATCCTTCTCACTGCAAATCATTTTGTGTGGCTGCAAATTTGACAAAAAATTCCTACCCCTTATCAAATGTTGCTTTTTTTTTTTTTTGTATATAGGTATTTTTCATGTGTGAGTTATGAAAAGTCCAGAAACTTGATTTTGTTTAAAGAAATTCACACTGTCATCTAGGGTGAAAGGCATTTTCATGTCATAACAGCAAAAAAATTTTAGATGCTTCTATAGCTAACTACAATACCATAACTTGAGTAGGCTTTGTGGTTTAACAGTTCTCCAACAAAACCAATCTTCAAATGTAAATACATTTTTTGAGCTGAAAATAACCAAAACCAATAGGAGAATATAATTATATTATGTCTTTGCAACTACCTACTACTGTGCAACTTCAATTAGATGTCTCAAGCAGTCAAAGTCTTCATGAGATATTGCTGATATTCATGCCATGATGATTAAGTATGTGTGTATGGCATCAAGTGAGTGACTGGCGAGACTGTTGTGAACTGCATCGGCTTGGAAATGTCTTACATTAACCAGATCATGCCACTTCAATGCCTGATAGTTTATATCAGTCCATCCTAACCTTAGCTTTATTTTACTTATTTTTCATCATTTGGAGTGGAAACATTTTTTCTGTATTCTGGATTATGTGGATTGAGATAGTATCTTGATTCCAAAACATTATTCTTTATTTGACAACATATTATAGTTGGTATTCTTTTTTAGCCCTTGTTCCTATCTATGCTCAGTTCATCAGTCATTCTGAATTACTTCCCATATAAAATTAATGACTAATTTCTCATACTTGTCTTTCACAACTGTCTAGTCCACAACTAAGCTCTCAGGTCCTCAATCAATAATATTTTCTCTCTCTTGCTTTATTCTAGCTATCTTCCTGAGTTTCTTCCGATGTTTTAAAGCATTTAATGTCCTTACTGTGGCCCGTGCCAAGCACAAGCAGTTGCTCCCTCACTGACTTTGCTGCTCTGAGTTTTCATTGATCTGTGGCTGCCTTGTCTGATGATTTCACTTCAATCTATGACAACTGGACATCAATGTTTTTGTGCAATGTACCTATATGCCAGTATATGAGTAGAGAATGTAACAATTGATATTTTCACTATTGTTTGTAATATTATAATGCTGTACGCATGTTTATTGTAAATTATGCTATTGGAATGCATACTATGATTACTTCTATGCTATGAACAGTGCATATGTTGTTTGAGGGAGCACTAATTACTAATTAGCCATCCAAGCAGTGTGCTGCTTCCTCTTTGACTGACTGTATCTGGGTAAATTACTCATAGATCTGTTTAAATTAAAATTATTGATAATTTTTCATTGCCAAGTTGCATCAATTGAATTGTCCATCAATACATCCATTTACCCATTTACCATAATCTTATGTATATTGCCTAAAGTAATAGCCTATTTTCAACTATATTTGGCCATGCAATTACAGTCAATAACTTGAATATGAGTTAGCATATGAAAATAATTTGTTTCATTATAAAATCATATAGGTATCCTCACACATAAGTTCAACAATACTCACTCTGGTCGCTGCACTTCAATTTATATGATATTGCTCCCACAGCTACCCTGGTATTATTGGAAATTTGATATTGTATGTGTTTAGTAGTATATCAATTCACAAACTCATTCATAATGAACTCTTGAAGATACAATTAAACCTAAAAACTATTAAACTTTTCTCAAAACAAATATATTTATTAAAGTGAGCCATCAATATTATAACCTTGTTGTTTTTTTCATTCAGATTCTTGCACTTAACTTGAATTTTTAATATATAGCTTTTTTGGCAGCACTTCACAAGCTTGGCTTCAGCGACTACGTAGCGGAGGCAGAAGCTGTGCTGCGAGACTGCAAGGCTTTGGCTGCCAAGAAGAGAAGGAAAAGTTCTAGACTAGAGAACCTGGGCATCCCTGAAGAGGACTTGTTGCGCCAACAACAAGAACTTTTTGCTAAGGTTAACTTTTTCGATGAAAGAATTTGTTTTGATGGTCTAAATTAACAGCAGCTCAAAGTTCGTATTTGGGAACTTTTAAATTCATTGGCTCTGTTTTCAAACTCATTACATTCATTTTCAAGTCATAAACTTCTCATTTTTTTCATAATTTGTGCTTTTAACTCATAAACTTTGTTCCTAAACTTGTAAACTCTTTACATATTTTAACTGTGCTCTGAATACAACTCACCATAATTATTTTATTATTGTATAATATGAAGGAAATTTTTTTAAGTTTGCCTTCCTATTATTCTTTAGTAATTTTTTTCTCATAGTTTTTTCAAATCTTTTTTGTTCTCCATTTAAAACTATGATATAAAATCAATTCACTTGCTTGTGTTTCTTTTTTGATGCTTGAAAATGTTAAAATTTGCAATAAAATTATACATGCTCAATTTATCTGTTCATCATCTTACTGATATATATAATTGTTTTCTTTCAATAACCAGATTTAATTGAGAGAATAGCAAGTGGTTATTATTGTTGTAACGTGATGATTTGTTGTTTACATCACAGGCACGAGAAGAACAATTATTTGTTGACCAGAAGAAGTGGCTTCATCTCCAACAACAAGCCAGTGTTGCAGAACAGCAACAACAACAACTGCAATCTGCTCAATTACAAAATGATGATGATGACGAATATGAAGATGATGATGATGATGAGCCATAACTTTCATCATAATGTTATCTAAAATAAACGACTAGTTCACTATGTCAAATTATACCATCTTCTCTTGTTCTTGCGTCAATTTGGAATAACTAAACATAACTAAGGTTGCAAATAATTTATTTTAAATTGGTTCTTATTGGGTAACTTCCAATATTAGTTAGTAAAATCCAATGTCTGAGACTTATAGTGCGACTTGTGACATTTTACATTTGGTTAGAAACGTGCCATTTCTGAGACCTTGATGACTTTCCACATTTGACGGAAGTATATTGAATAATATTGAATAATATTAAATAATATTGAATAATATTGAATAATATTGAGTAATATTGAATACCATAATGTGGCTGTGGTGCAGTCACATCAGGAAGTAGTGTTGATCATTAAGGCTAAAAAGAAAGGTTGGCTGCATTTGTTCATTAAAAACAATTGAACAACTTGTGGATGTTGTCTCTTTATTTTATTTTCCTAGTTTTAGGTAGCGCATGTGCAGCGGTGCTCAGATGTAGGTAAAAGGTTAAGGGTGAATGTAGCCAGTTCTGGAATCTCAGCCAAAACTCGAACACAGAGGCACAATTTCCACCAACTTTTAACTCCTTATTCGATTGTGAACGAAATTTTCCGTAACTAATAGCAGTTTCCTGCTATGAAGGTTAATAAAATTTGCAGATTTCTCACTGTATATGTCCGCTCTTGAATTTGTATTTGTTGTCACTAAACACTAATGTATTTATTTTAGCGAGATTTTGAGATAATAATTCATTGAAAGCACCGTTATTGTGAAGGCCAAATTGATTCTTATCTGTACACAAAAGTCAACTGGAACATCTTTCTTGATGAAGATAGTATGCACTAAATTGATACAAAACGATATGGAAGGCTGATTATTAATTGGTTAACTCTCGCAGAATACGTACTAAAATAACCACATATTCTTGCTTTGGAAATGAACAATAGTCGTCCAAGTGATAGATTAGAACTTAACAGATTCAACCTGCAAGGAATTTTTGTCTTCTTCTACTTCTTCAGCTCGCTGTATTTCTACATTCTCATCAATTGGAGGTGCTTCTGTTACGTATATAGCAACAGGTGCACTCGTGGGTGTGCCTGGCGTGACTATCTTGTTCTCACATCCTTCCTCAATGTTTATCTTTGCCGCGTTGGGGTCCGGTGGTTCATTCCAGTCACCCTTGGTCATCTCGAGGAGACGCTCTATTTTATCCACGAGCACCGCAAGTGTCAGGAGCTCCTTGCAGCAGTCACCGTGCACGTGCATGTCACTGTGGTCGTGGTCAACGTCGCCATTACCATAGTGCATGTTGCTGTGGCCATGATGGCATGTGTGGAAATGTCGCTCCGTCACAGCTTTGGGCAGGATTTTTACCATTGCATTAACGATCGTCGAACGCCGCCGAGACGGATATTGTTGCACCGGCACTTCCAGATTTATGGGAGGTGCGATGCTAGAGCTTTGGCCTTTGCTAGAAATGGACGACGCTGACGATCGTCTTCCATTGGACTGAATAGTCAGTCTGGAGCAGGTGGAGATTTTCCTTCCTGCCAAACTTACAACGGAGGAATGTCTCGATCGTCCTGGAATAATTTCCTCAGCCGTCTTTAGGATGGAATCGAGGCTTTCCGAGATCTGCTGTTCTTCGGTGCTGGTGTCTACGATCTCAAAGCTTGGGTTATCCTGACCAGCGTCTTGGCCTTGCAGCTTTTCTCTGAAGAGCTGGATTGCATTAGCCTTGCTGTGCACCCGCTCATGCTGCTCCAAGAAGCTGTTCATCAGCCCCTGCAGGCGAGCTGTGCGCTTCTGCAGCAACCGAGCGGTTCGCTCCTCCATCATCCGGACCTGCACATAAAATTTTATGTTGGAATTGCAAAGTACGCTGCTCAGCCATAGTGATATTGAATTAGTAACGTACGCTGCTCAACATTTAGTTTCTGCCCCTAATCTTTCAATGCTTGTCAGAAATTAGTTTGAGTTTTACAGTAAACTTTCACCCGCCATCAATCAGCCAGTAAAATTTACACTACCTTCACCGCGTCAGACTTTGGGATCATGAGTCCACTCGTCTGATCAGACATGAGTGTAACGAGTCCACTCGTCTGATCAGACATGAGTATAATGAGTCCACTCGTCTGATCAGACATGAGTGTAAAGAGTTTACTCACCGGATCAGACTTGAGGGCGTCTATGAGGAATGAGACGATCATGATGAGGTATGCCAGACCAAACATGGTCCACAACATGAGGTAGATCTTGTACACAAAATCCCAGTAGCTGTAGTATCCAGGCCTCCCTGGCAACAAAAATATCTTTTGAAATTAAAACATTTTTGCGGGAACTATGACAGTTTCTTCCTAATGTTGTTTTTTGAGCCTGAATAAATTTAAATAATAGAGATTCATTTGTAAAGAACCCATAAAGGAAGTTAAGAACCAAAATCATATTAGTCTAAAAAATTTTCACGATGTGGGCACGAAGGTACAATTCGAATGTTGCCTGGAGACCAGCCCTTAAAATAATTCATTTAATACATTTGCGTAATTTCGAACCTTCCCGAGTTAAGAATGGAATATTTAAGATCGTATTCACATTTCCCAGAAATAATAAGGAATCAAAACAAAATTTTTCGTCATTACTCCGACCTCGATCACTGAAAATTCAGAACCAATAAGATGATAAAGTTTAATACATTCTAGCGCTTTTTTCTGTCAAATATCAAGAACAGAGATTGCAAATCATGAGTTCGCGCCATCCGATATCGGTTTTTGTTCAACTTCATTCGTGGATTAGGTTGCTGATTGGGGAATTAACAAGAAACTTAATGTAGAATTTCATGGATCGTGCATCGAACCGGTACCTACTTATATTCCTGTCGTCAAATTAATTCTCCTAGTTCCTGTATAACCCCTGCGAACAAATCTATGACCTTATCCACCATGTTTCCATTATTACATAACAGGCTCTTGATATCTAGCTTCTAGCTTTTAGTTGTGGCGGTTTCCTGCGCACTAGGCAGCTATACTTGAGCGCAGGTTCGAATCCCGGCCTGTAAAATTATTTGAGAGCGGCGCACAAGCGTGACCGTGGACGGTGCCGTTCATAACTCATCATCAGCACCTGCCACGTAATCGCCAAATCCGATGGTGGTGAGGGTGATGAAGGCGAAGTAGAAGCTCTGCAGGAACGTCCATCCCTCGACCTCCATCATGATAAGGGCTGGCACGATCAGGAATAACAGCAACCCCGGCATGAGATACACCAGCGCTCTGTTCACCACCTGAGCTGTGGTTCTGCCATTGCCACCCTTGCGATCTTCGCTCGTCATCACCTGCAATATAAATAATGGTGAATTGTATATGTTTTTAGTATCAATGATAGGAAATTACCTGTAGATATGCGGATAAATACCTGTAGATATGTGGATAAATACCTGTAGATAAGCGAAAATTACTCGCAGATAAGCGGAATTTACTTGTAGATATGCGGATAAATACATGTATATAAGCGGAAATTACCTGTAGATATGCAGATAAATGGTTGAGTACCCCATTATCTTCTTCGCGTTACGGCGGTTGTTGAAGAACCATAAATAAATTGCATTTCATTGAAAATATAATGAGTTGCGTGATAGTTTCATTGTTCGTGATATGAACACCAGTGTACCTATAATGTTCAGTAACAGCCTATGTCCATTAACACTAATTTCGTAGAAGCTGAAGAGAAACACAATAGTGTTCAGTGGCATGCTAAATAGCTAGTGAGTGCTGGAACTGAATAATTACTCACGTAATCTGAGTAGAAGTCAGCTAGCGTGACGAACACCATGGTGTTCAGAGGGATGCCGAACAACGAGTACAAAATGCAAAACTGCTGCCCGATGGTCGTGCGCGGCGAAAGGTGGCCGTAGCCTGCGGAAAGGGAGGTCCATTTATGCGCCCGTTATACGATTCAAAATATAATTTATATCAGATTCTTTCAGCTACTTACTTCCATACATAAACGTTAAATAAAGATAAGGTTGTGTGAACGCGGTCATGGATAGAAGTGTAGTCGATCATCAGCGAAGTTATGCTGAGGTAACTATTAGAGCACCTAAGTCGTACTTCAGTGTTTAACTGCCGCTCCTAATATATCAATAGGTTAGGACTCTTTCCAAGCTCCGCCTGCCTCAGGTGCTACGGCCTTCTTTACCCAATTCAGCATTTCTTTTCAGGCAGATGTTTGTCTACGACTTTCCGCGTTTCCTGTTTATATAATATTAATTATATATAATATTTCTGACGTGAAGATTAGATCGTGTGTGGCATGTCGCTGATTCTAGATATCGAAGAATTCACACAGCTAACTGAGCCTTGAACCCTCCACACACAGTTTCCTCTATACTCTTTATAACTACCCGACTACTTCGCCGATGGAGAGGCTTCCACTCGTCGTCGGGCAGCTCCTCCGTATCTGCAGCTGCTTTTTTGGCCTCTACTCTTTGGTCATCCGTCTCTGTCTCCTGAGCCCACTCCATGGGGTGGGCTGGAACCTTGAGACTCAATTGCAGTAGCATAAGGTGACATCCTTCGCCACGGAAGATAGAAAATAATTTAGCTCTGGTTCAGTAGTGCAAGATGGAGAAGATGCACGGCGTCACTCACCTATTGTGGTGATGGTGATGAAGGAGAAGAAGAAGGCGTTCCAGAAGTCCCAGTCCCGCATGAGGTACTCGTCTGTGAGGGTTTCGTTGGACACGAGGCTGATGAACTCGTAGGAGTAGTTGGCGCTGGCGTTGAAGTCGTTCGGCAAGATGGGGCCGTAAAGATCCTGCACGGCATGAAGCATCCGCAGCACCTGGTCCTTAGTGTCGCCATCTGGCAGCTGGAGTAGCGTCTCTGCGGAGGAAAGGGACTGAATAATTAACAATAAAATTATGGTCAGATGGAACCTTGTGCTGTATCGTGATATTTGGAAACTGGACCAGCGTTTCTGTGTGGGAATGGGACAAAAATATCCGCATTTATTTCATTGGCAGATGCAGCTAAAAACTACTGTGCATCAACTTACTTCTTGAACGCTGATCAGCATCTCTAAGAGAGCAAGGGTTATGGCACTGTAATTAGAGTTTTTTCTAGTCTGCTGTAAAGAGAAATATAAGTGCTGCTCAAGCTGCCGTCTTGCAGCTTAAGCAGCGTATCTGTGGAAGAATGTGACTATAAAGGATTAACATTAAAATCACAGTCAGCTAGAACCAAGTATTGTGTAGTGCCATATGGGAGATGGAGCAGCGTCTCTGCGAGAGCTGAGTGAGAATGGCATTGCAATCGGCCACTTTCATACGCGTAAATTAAAACCGTAAACATAATAAATGCACCAAATATTAGCGCACAAAGTTCAACAAATGCAACAATCATTACATATTGCCACCTACGCCACTCACCCGACTTAAGAAAATTACCCAAACTTAGAAAGGTTACCCTTACTTGGGAAGGTTACCCTGGCTAAAAGCAGTCACCCTGACTGTGGGAGGTCACCCTCCCTGGCTTAGGTAATCCCAGCCCCATAAGGTATAATGTTGGAGGAGGAGAGTTAATTACATTCATACGCGTAAAGCGAATAAAATGACTCTGATAATCAAATTTAGAATTTAAAATTAAAATCTAGACTTTCGAATTGCGCTAATACGTCTATCACTATGCTGGATGGAATAATTAAGTCAACCATAAATTTACCATTGTTTAATAAATATAATTATTTATTCAGAAGTACGAGTTCTTTCCAAACCCCCACTCACCCACTGAATGGAGCTGGAGTTGGTGCACTGCCATCTCATTCTCCAGCTTCTCCTTCCTGGAGGAGGGCGCCTCCAGGACCTGGAACACCAGCGCCCCCAACAGGAGGTATATGATGTACACCAGCAGCATCACCAGCCATCGCTTCTTACTCATCCGCATTATGAGGCTTGTCTCTTGTGAGTAATGTTAGGAGGACGCCTAAAGAGGGTGGCTATTATTATTAAATCGCAGTTGTCTCTAAATCTCTTATGAGAGAGATGTCTCGGGTGTCTATGAGAAAGATGTCTACGGGAGAGATGCCTCAGATGACTATAAATTCGATTATGGTACCAAAACGCGTCTTAATGTCAATTTTATTAGTCACATTATTTTCATATGTTATAAAGCAGCTAAAAACGTCTCGGGTTTCTTTTTCAAGATACCCTGTTTTAACCTTCAGACCGAAGTACTGTATATTACTCGTCTCACCCACTGTACGAAATCAAATTGCACACTTTTCTTTTGTACGTACAATTACACTGTACTGGTGTACCTACATGTACACTTTACTTGATGCAGTGACACTGTCCCCAGCCAGACACAGCTGGGACCGTCCCGTTTCAGTTCAGAAAAATTTGCATCACAGTTCAGAAAAATTTGCATCAAAATCACTTTTTCAAATTCTTTTCTGGAGCAAACCTTACTATACTATCTTTGACATTAATTATGTATGTCCACCAAATTATAATGACAGTAAAACATATAATTACACAAAATGCAACAAAATCTGAAAAAAATTATAAATATTAATCAGGATAAAATTAATTTTATAGAATTGTACGGCTATGTAAAATTAAGAAAACAAAGTTTTAACAAATTGTTGAGAAATTCTTTGTTCTCTTTGCAGGGAAAAAATAAACTCCTATGCAAAGTCGTAAGAAACGCGAGTTTTTTTTGTTGCGCAGCTGTAGTATTAGTGAGGAGGCATGGGTGTTAGTGAGGAGACATGGGTGTTGGTGAGGAGGCATGGGTGTTGGTGAGGAGACATGGGTGTTAGTGAGGAGGCATGGGTGTTAGTGAGGAGACATGGGTGTTAGTGAATGGTGAGGAGGCATGGGTGTTGGTGAGGAGGCATGGGTGCTGGTGAAGAGGCATGGGTGTTGGTGAGGAGGCATGGGTGTTGGTGAAGGGCGGCGGCGAGTGACGGGCAAAGAACTACTCAAAGCTTGTACATATAGACAAAAACCATTTTACTCCTGTTATTGTTTCGGACTTTTTCATCCGTTCTCAAAATTCTAAAGACGAATAACGTTGGAGATAACGTAACAAAATGACTTGTTTGTTTGAACTATGTTATAACCCATTAGTGATATAATGGGAGCTGTTAGAAATTTATTGCATTCTCTTATCCCTTCCAATCAATTTTTTTGTGACGAAGCGCATGGTTGAAACAATTTATGGTTGACGTCTGGAGCGCTCTTGAATCTGACCAATTTAATGTTATAAAATGTATAACTTCTTAAATCTTGCTGTATGATTGGTATTTAAATTGGGAAAAATTGCTGTGTAAAAATGTCCAGCCCAGCCACCAGTCTACCACTCAAATTAGGTTGAGATTTCAAGTCTTGTTTGCATTCAATCTTCAATTGAATTTTGATTTACACTGAATCAAGTTCTGGGCCGAAAGACGAGCGGTTGAGAACGTGTTCAGTTTGCTCACGAATGTTCACGTTCTTCTATACGTATGGATATTTATACAAATGACTACAGCACGAGACAGAATACAGTGTGAGACAGAGTATAGTGTGAGAAAGAGTATAGTGTAAGACAGAGTATAGTGTGAGACAGAGTATAGTGTGAGACAGAATACAGTGTGAGACAGAGTATAGTGTGAGAAAGAGTATATGGCAAGACAGAGTATAATGTAAGACAGAGTATAGTGTGAGACAGAGTATAGTGTGAGACAGTGTACAATACGAGACAGTGTACAGTACGAGACAGAGTATAGTACAAGACAGTGTACAGTACGACAGTGTACTGTCCGACACAGTGTATAGTACGAGACAGTGTACAGTACGAGACAGAGTACAGTACGAGACAGAGTACAGTACGAGACAGTGAACAGTACGACAGAGTAATGTCCCCTCATTCCCGCAATGTTCGGGCCCAGTAGGTGAGAGCACTACTGTGCTCAAGCGTTTCTTTTCACTCTGTATGCCGCAGCAGCAGCTCCCAGCACGACAACCGCATTATGCTCTTCGTATTTAATGACGACAAGACATTCGCACTTTGAATCTGCAAAGTGGTAGCAGAATTGTCACGTTCGGTCATTCATTTGTGGGCGAAAAGTGCGCTGTGAATTTTAAGTTTTAACTCGACTTTAAACGTCCTGCATTTATGCGTATATTTGCTTTCAAATAAGAGGACGACCTCCACATGACGATAGTTACAAATAGGATGCACGGGCATCGTCTGCTCTGAACCCGACATCTTCCTGACGTGTTATTGACACGTTGTCAACGCGTTTCTGACATGTTGTCAACGTGTCATTGGCACGGTGCTGGAGCGTTATTGTCAATGTGTAGGTGAAGTGTTGTTGTCAATCTGCAGATGATTGGGATTTATTTTTTACCCATGTAATATAATCCCCTATAATTAAATATTTATAAAGCATTTGTTACTTCAATTAGGAGTCATGCCTGTACTGCACCTGCCTGGAAGTCTGGATTCATCCAGGCACCTGTCGCTGCCTGGATTCATCAGCTGATCAGCTGGTCAGCCGTGAGCTGATCAGCTGAAGCCGTGAGCTGGTCAGCTGAAGCCGTGAGCTGGTCAGCTGGTCAGCTGAAGCCGTGAGCTGGTCAGCTGATATCAGCCACGTGTCGCGAAGCCTCATTTGAAGTCAATTTATGCAGCGATTTCGACACCAAAATTTGTCAACTTGTAAGCGCTTAGCTGCGCGGCCTGGTTTCTTTTCCTTGTGCCTGGTGCACCAGTGGTGCGCGTGGCAGCTGGTGCACCAGTGGTGCGCGTGACGGCTGGTGCACCAGTGGTGCGCGTGACAGCTGGTGCACCAGTGGTGCGCGTGAGGCTGGTGCACCAGTGGTGCGCGTGACAGCTGGTGCACCAGTGGTGCGCGTGACAGCTGGTGCACCAGTGGTGCGCGTGACAGCTGGTGCACCAGTGGTGCACGTGACAGCTGGTGCACCAGTGGTGCGCGTGACAGCTGGTGCGTGATAGGCTCGCTTTCGTTCCGAACTAATACACATTCACTTGTAGATAACAAATTAATTTTTCCATATATGGACGGCAGATTAAGCTAATCTGTCTCTGAATAACAAACTGGTTTATTAATTGGTAATAATAACAAATTACAAAATCGATTGAAGTGTGGAAATTAACCGCCTGTGAAGAATTGCAACTTCGTTCGCATGCCGCGCTGCTACATAAGTGATAAGTTGTTAGTTTGTAAACCTTTGACTAAGATTCTGCGTCAAATAATATGTGTTGGTGTTGATGTGTTGACACTTATAATGTGTAACATAAGTGATAAGTTGTTAGTTTGTAAACCTTTGACTAAGATTCTGCGTCAAATAATATGTGTTGGTGTTGATGTGTCGACACTTATAATGTGTTTTACTGATGTATTACCGAGAAAATATTCAAATGAAGCTGTGAATATTTTCGCCCGCTTTGAATCGAGTGTTTTATTTAGCACATCCTTTACAACCGCTGCTTTAGACACTGTATGAAATTAATTTTTTTAACCAATTGCGAGTCGCACCAAATTTTCCTTGTGAATTAACAGCTCTGAATTTGTTGCATGTAATAAATGTGCATGTAATGAATAAAATGAATATAAAAACAACTCCAATGTATTGGAGTTGTTTGGTCCGCGGCCTCGTCGGTGCGTGAGCTGCAGTTGAAATTAAATAAAACTTCAATGGCTTTTTGATGAACATACCCCGGGCACTGTAATGGTTGTACATGTAATAACATACCCCGGGCACTGTAATGGTTGTACATGTAGGAACATACCCCAGGCACTGTAATGGGTTGTACATGTAGGAACATACCCCGGGCACTGTAATGGGTTGTACATGTAGTAACATACCCCGGGCACTGTAATGGTTTGNACCATGTGGCGCACACCCCACACCATGTGGCGCACACCCCACACCATGTGGCGCACACCCCACACCATGTGGCGCACACCCTTACTTTCAACATAAGACTTGACTATTTAAGTGACCATTAACAAACATCTTATCCACGTGCTATTATTCAAACTTGTTGGTAAAGTTAGCAGAGAAATGTATTTTTTTCAGGATCGTTTCCTTTAAAGCATTGAAATTCTCATCGATCCTGAGAAGAATCCTCCTTTCCATTTTTTACCGAAAAATTTACTCTCGTCCGACATCTATAATATATTTTTGCATCATCATACGACCGGGATTTATTAAGAAAATATAGATTTGGTTTGACGTTGTAATAAATGCAGCTCGTTCATTAAAGAAAAACATTATCTCGTCCACAGCAAATTGAGAACCGATACACTCAAAACTCAATATGGGTCAGCTATTGTGCCCGCTCATGTCATCCCATTAGTGTTGCCCTATTGTTGAACTGATGTTGTGTCTCATGATGATTATAGGCGCTGTAACTGACGTGTGTTGAACTGATGTTGTGTCTCATGGTGACTAGACCAGAACTGATGTTGTGCATTCCAAGTTTAGATACTGGGTTCCATTTTAATTTTCCCAAGAAACCGGTGATGAATTAAACTTAGAGAAAAATGCTACTTTATTAGCACTGAAACAAGGCCAAGTGAGGTTTGTATTTTACCGATACATTGTTTTGGCCGAACGGAGTCGTGTGTGTTTTTTCTCAATAGTTGTTGAAGAAAAGCTGCATGAGTGGCATGAGTGGTATGAGTGACATGAGACTCGTGGCATGAGTGGCATGAGTGGTTGAAGAAAAGCTGCATGAGTGGCATGAGACTCCTGGCATGAGTAGCATGAAACTCGTGGCATGAGTAGCATGAGACTCGTGGCATGGGTGGCATGCGACTCGCGGCATGAGTGGCATGAGATTCGTGGTATGAGTGGCATGAGGGTCGTGGCATGAGTGGCATGAGACTCGCGACATGAGTGGTATGAGACACGTGGCATGAGTCGCATGAGACTGGTGGCATGAGTGGCATGAGACTTGTGGCATGAGTGGTCGAGGCTCGTGACATGAGGGTATGAATTTCGTGGTATGAGTGGCTGAGACTCATGCCATTAGGGTATGCGGCTCGTGGCATGAGTGGCATGCGACTCGTGGCATGAGTGGCATGAGTTTTGTAGCATGAATGGCGTCTACAGAAAATCAAGCACACAATGAGTCCTTTGGCCGGAACAGGATGGGTCAGGCTGACCCATACTATGTCAAAAAATGCATCGCTTTACGGACAAAGCCTCACTTATTTCTTTGAGTGTGAGGAAATTTCGGTCAATTATCTAGAGCCCGCCAGACAGCCTGCCGCTGTGCAGTTCTCAACCTACCCTGCCGATCATTTTAATTAAAAAACTGTACTGTAAAACAGACTATCATTGTAAAACCGTGCATTACATTAATCATTATCGTTATTACCGCTATAATGTTCAGCTTTTCATCGTTATTGAGAGCAGTAAGAGCTTTGTTCTTAAGGCACTTCGAACAAACAATGGCTTAACTCAGCCTCACGTAGACTGCATTGCCACGTGTCTGCCTTACGTGACCTCACCATACGAGCATTGCGTGCTCTA